TATATGACACATACATACATACATACACACACATACTTGACTAATGCTCTCTGCATCAACCATTACCTTCAAATTACTTTCTTTTGCATAACACAAAATTGTATGTTACACATTCACCATCCACTTCCACTGCATCTTTTTTTCCACACAATGAAAGTAATGGGTAACTGAAACTGTCAATCTGTATTACATTGTTTTCCACAGAAGAAAGTGGGTGAATACACAATGGAAAAGTTCATTTTGGGGTTTAACTACACCTTTAATTAAGCAACTAAACCCACTATGGTCGTTCATATGACAGAGCCACGAGGAAATAAATTAACCAACCAGGCTGACTTAATTATGAAATCCATAATATACTGAAACTCCAACATCCAAATTGCTTTTAACTCATTGCAAAACATATAGGTAGAGCTAAACAAAGAAACCACTAGGGTAACGTTTTCCAAATGCTGAGTTTTGTGCACACTGGGTTCCCAGAAGTGTGAGGAAAGCAGCGATCTGCTCCTACAGACGTGTCACAGCGCAGCCATGATGCACTGCCGGTGTGGCTAACAGCGCTAGCCTGCATATGGCACTGACACGTTCAGATCCACTCCACTTTCCATACCATAACATCGTTTTATTCCCAAACCAAGATTTAACGACCTCCACACGCCATCTGACGAAAACACACCTCGACAACCATCTGAAAAAACTAGAAAATCAAGCCGGGCCCAAAGCAAATGTGAAGGGAAGTGTCGATTTCACCGCACTAGCTAATTAGCTACCCCCCTCTAAATCAATGACATGGTGAAAGCCGACGGTCAGTGAGATCGACGCTCCGGTTCGTTTACAGTATCGTATGTAAAACATCGGTAAAATCGAGTTTGTTGAGGAAAAAAATAGGTCAAACTTATTATAGCGTCCACGTGCCGACATTCCTTCAACGCGTCACATGAGACATTTAACGGTCACAAATGCTCCTCAAATACCAGAGAACAAGCCATCCACGGTCGATAGGCCATGTAAACCTCAACGGGACGGGACAAAACTGTGCCGAGTTTATATGTTCCCCAAATTTCAGATGACCGACTCCCAGAAATGAGCAACATGAATGTGTGAAACTGAAAAAAGCGAGTGCTGGGAAATAAAGCCTCAGAAACACATAACCGGCTTATTAGGGAGATTGGGAAAATAATCAGTGACAAGTTAAAAGAAAAGCGTTTTACGAAGAAAATGTTTGATACGTGAGCACGCATCAACATTAAACCCGTCGTGAGGATCAATCTAGGCCCGCTTGGCCCCTACGATTATCGGTTTAAACGCGGCTATCAAAGTTAGCATAGACAGTAGGATTACTCACCCGGCGCCGCAGACAAATGGGAAAACTTGAGGGCAAGACTTCGTCAACGTGTTTCTTGAAAGTTTGTTTTTTGTTACTAACAGAGGGCGTCTTGGTTTCCACAGGGATATTTGGGTTAATCAAGTGAGACGTGTTGGCTAGCTGCTGACACTTTAGATTTAAATCCCATATAGCGTGCAAAGGCGAGAAAAAGTGACAGTATGGGGGGAAAAAATAATAAATACAGTTTCCAGATGTTACTACTGACAACGTTGATGCCCCCAGGACAAGCCTCTTGACTGGGGGTCCATTTTTAAGGCGCGGATGGTGACGGATTGCCGGTAAATTGATCACACTTCTCTTAATAAATGCGATTAGAACAGAGCCATGGTGCTTCAGCGTTTCTCCCCTTGAGCCCGCAGACCGGACGGAGTGCCGCGTGGGTACTTCCGGGTTAATCAACCTGAGCGCCGCAGGGTCATTCACCAAGGGTACAAATAAGGAACAATAATAAAAGTCTCCTCCACTTACACAGATTATGAATGTTAATTTATAATGCTTCGCGTACAAAACAAATTTAATGCACACGTATTTATAAAATTTAATCACGGAATGTTGTAAGAAATAATAAATAGATATAAAACGAGATATAAAATCTAAATCTATTATATTTAAATATAATATAAAAGATAGAAAATCTATCATTCTATCTGTCTGTCTGTCTGTCTGTCTATTAATTTATTTATTTATTTGACGAAATATGACATTCAATACCATATGCCGTTGTTAATTTAAGTAAAATATAAAAATAACATGAAATGCAGCATAAAATGTTATGAAGTGAACATAATATAATATAATAATTTTATTTTTTTATTTTAATCCCTCTCCCACCCCACTTAACCCTGCAGTCTCTTTTCAAAAGAGCACATATTATGCAACATGTAAAAACACACACACACACGCATGTTTGTTTCTGTGAATTGTGGGGACTTTCCGTAGACTTCTATTACTTTTATACTGACCAAACTATATTTTTTTATCCCCTAACCCTAAACCTACCCCTTACAGAAAACCTGTTTGCATTGTTACACTTTCAGATAAACATCGTTTACTATTTTTAATAATTTTCTTCCCTTGTGGGGACCACAAGTCTGTCCCCACAATGTCAGAAATTTCAGGTTTTACTATCCTTGTGGGGACATTTGGTAGCATAAACAAGTACACACACACACACACACACACACACACACACACACACAAATGATCATATGTTTTATGGTATGTCAGACTTATATGTCAAAGGTACATACACACAGGGGGCGGGGTGGTGGGGAGGGCAGGAGAAGTCAATTGTGTTCACTCTGAGTTCAGGTCTTTGATTTGTGATTGATACGTTGAATTCTCCTCAGCCACTATAGTCCAGGTCTTCAATGTAGATGTTTGTGCACAATTGGAAGACCGCAAGGATTTAGGGTCCGATTTGGGACAGGGCCATAGAGTCATCATTCAGTAATGATAACATCAAAGAGTTCACTGAAGTAACCAAAGATTTTTAATAGAGAACTACATATGTCAGTCCAATCAAGTGTCTGGAGCAGGGATAGGCAACGTCGGTCCTGGTCTGGAGTGCCGCTGTCCTGCAGAGTTTAGCTCTAACCGTAATCAAACACACCTGAACAAGCTATTCAATGTCTTTAGGATTACTAAAGCCAAAGCCACTAGAAGGCAAGCCTGCAACCTTTAGCCAAAAAAGAGTAACGGCTAATGCTAACGCTTCCGCTTTGGCAGTATGTGGGAAAGGAGACCAGAGGCCGTTTTTTTTCATGGATATCAATGGAGGAGAGGCTTCACTATTCTGAATAAACATCTTTATAGAAGAAACAGCTTATCATTTAATGAATCGACAGCCTATTGGCTAATCTTCAACATGTTTTACACTAAACAATACTTTTGGATGAAACTATTTATAGAGTTTACACTGAAAAAAAAAAAGCTGTTTTATAAGAGAGGTCTGGCAGTACATGGGAAAGGAGACCAGAGGCTGTTTTTTTATGGATGTCAGTGGAGGAGAGGCTTCACGCCCAAATAAACAGTTTTTTAGAGGAATTGTAATCGTAATCGCGCACATGCTGAATGTAAACAACGATGATTATGTTGATTACGTTCTGGGGTACTCTCCAAAATGGCAGAAGACGGTAACTCGGGGAGAAGAATTTTTGAATAAATTATGGTATTATTGTTTCCTTTGCGCACAAAAAGTATTCTCGTAGCTGCGTAAAATTATGGTTGAACCACTGATGTCAAATGGACTATTTTACCGATGGCCTTGCTACATTTCTGGACCTGGGAACATTGCAGTTGCATTGCTGTCTATGCAGGGTCAGAGATCTCTCAGATTTGATCAAAAAATATCTTAATTTGTGTTCCGAAGATGAACGAAGGTCTTACGGGTTTGGAACAACATGAGTAATTAATGACAGAATTTTCATTTTTGGAAACTATCCCTTTAATTCAAGAATTAGGATGGCTGGGAGTTGAAAATATTTCTCTAAAAGTATTGTTAGGAAATGGGTCAGTGCAATCAAGAGTGCATGAAATATTATTTAAATACCTGAAAAACACAGGAACAGTTTTTAATTTCCTCTCTCCTTTTCCTCCATTTTTTCTTCCAAATCTATGTACACCCCACACTCCAGATCCAGATTTTTTGTTGGCTTGCCAAACCGTCATAATACACCAGAAGAAGAAGAAGAAAGCGGCTGTCACACAGCATGTGAGTACTAAACTAAGTTCTCTGTCATGTTTTATTGCACTTAAACTGTCAAAGACACATAAGGTTATGTTAAAAACACATAAGTTACAAAAACAGTCGATTATGTCTGTGAAGGTAAACAGCTGGGAAATAAATTTTTTATATAAGTTTATATAAGATCTGTGTGGCAGTAGCGTAATATACAGTAAATAAATCAATAAATCCACTGCTCTTCTGTCTCCTCTGAGGCTGGGACTCTTAACAGTGTTCTGTGCTCGTCAGTGCAGCCAAAGACAGAATAGTTAGCATGCTTTGCTCAAACATTTGCCATGGCGTTATAACTGGTACACCGATGTCACTTGTGAACACAATGGTGGCGCCGTGGGTGGAAATGTGCAAATTAAGGGGCGGTAATATTATAATAAGTTCACTTAAAACGTCACGGGGGAGCAAAATCTGAGTGGCTCGTTTTTTCACAAGGCTTTCACAAGGTTTTTTGGAAAGGCTTACCAACAAAAATTTACTGGGTTGTTCTTTTTCACGTTTTCTGGGTTGGTAGATGCACCGGGGACCCGATTAAAGCACTTAAACATGGAAAAAGCCACATTTTCATTACATGTCACCTTTAAACCAAAGGAATGACTTGATGAGAGGATAGCAGATCCCCCCATAGCACTCCATAGGCCTTCATAGCTGACCTGAGGCGTAGCTAAGGAGGAATTAAGAGAACAAAATATGATGAAACAATGAAATGCATCATGAAATGTTTCTACTAATACAATAAAAATACACTGAAATTAGAAATGACATGAAGTATGACAAATGCCTGAAATGTGAACTTTTAGCCTACTTTCGCCTGAACTTGAGAGCCAAATAAAAAGCTAAATATTTCACAGAAATGTGTACAGCAGGGGGGCGGGGGGAAACGGGCTTCTGTTGTTTTGCTTCATACCGTGTGGTGAAATATTTTTCAGGTTCTGGTCAATTTATATTAAATTGCTATTTCTAAGTGTTAAGAGTTCAAATTAATGTATTTTCATTCTGAAAAACAGCTTGTAAACACAGCAAGCATCTGAAAAAAGCCCCTATATGATTATTTAGATCTGCAGATACTTTGATGGTTCTGCTTGTTTCTGATAGCTTAAACAATAATTGGTTAACAAGTTTTGCAAACACAGTCTTTCAATATGTAATGTGCTATTAATTTGTATGTGACATGAAAAAAAAATGGACTACCACAATTAATAATGATGAACTACACATTTTATTATGAAGGGCCAAATTACTCAAAATTAAGCTTAAATAAATAAACAAACAAACAAATAAGATTCTATAAGAAAATCTATCTATCTATCTATCTGTCTATCTGTCTGTCCTCAGAAATCTTCTCATGCCACTCAGGAATGTATATGCATACTTTGCAAGGATTGTTGCTGTTATACTGTTTTCCATATCTATCTATCTATCTATCCGTCCGTCCGTCCGTCTGTCCGTCCGTCTGTCCTCAGAAATCTTCTCATGCCACTCAGGAATATATATGCATACACTGCAAGGATTGTTGCTGTTATACTGTTTTCCACAATGCTCTGTGTATACTGTCAAGTACTTAATTATTCATAAATGTCCAGCATTACTTTTATGTGTGTGCCATTTATAATGTTATTATGTGCTATATTATGATATCAAAATAAATAGGTGCAATCTTGTCACACTACTGGGCTGAGAGAAACCCCCTACCTGGGGAATGAAGCCCCCTCTGCATAAACTTATCCCACTTGGAGAATGTCAAAAATAATGTGACATCATTATTTATTTATTTTTATATTCAAAAAATGTGACATTAATCTGAAATACTAAAAATCACAGACATTTTGAGGGGCAGGGGCTTAAATGGAAAAAAGGGAACTTCTCATATTTATTTATTTATTTATTCTAAACAAAACATTATAAATATGTTAGGGGTCTGCGATATTGACAAAAAGATATCTCAATATTTTCTGGGATTTTATTGATAATGATAATTAGATGATATTTTGCTGAGTGTGTTATTGTGCTGATATCTTAAGGACTACCGTGGACAGCTGACTCCTAAATTTTTTGATATTCTTCATATTCTGTGTGGTGATCAGTTCACAGCAGTGATAGATATTAATATTTTCCAATAAGTTTAAAGTGATTTTTACCTTTTATGGGCATTTTTACCTTTATAAAGCCATTTTTTCTAAAAGTGTGCATCTTTTCAGTCAAATTCTTAAATTGAATCAGTCATTTAGAATAATAAGTTATTTGGGCTGTTACCAAGCAAATGAAATCAGAATTGACTAAATTAATCTTTGCAATGCAGAGAAAACACCGAAGCTGCATTCGAAGGGGCATTTATATGCATTTACACATGAATGTATTTAACCTGCAGTTACAAATGCATTAATACCGTTTTAATATTTTAAACATAAAACGTTGAATACTGATATTTGAAATTTAAAAAAAAATAAATAAATTCAAGATACTTTAAATGTGAAATTAAAACTGTCAGTACGTGGCAGCAAGTCACTGTTAATAAGTGAGTCATTGCGATTGCGCTGAATCATTTAAACTGTTGATCCATTCAGGAACAAAACAGTGTCATGTTGCTCAGAGACGCAAATTGGAATTCTATTTGTTGGCGAAATAGAGCAAAAACAGTCAATATTGTGTCTAAAACGTAAGTGTTTTAATATTAAATTCTTGTTTATTGAACTGCAATA